GCAATCATCAGGATGAGGTCTTCTTGACAAAGCATCTGTATTGCCTCGCCATTTCCCGCTGCAGTGTCCGATAGTAAAGTCGTATTCCTGCTGCTGCTGGGCGGTGATGTTAGCCGCACTTCGCTTCTGAGATCGTTCACCTTCCCTTTCTAGGGTTTGCTTAGGGCAGCTGGATCGAAGATGGCCCCTTTCCCCACAGCCATAGCACCTAGGACTGTATCCTTTATTGTGGTCGCGAACCGTAACTGCCGCAACCTCCCTAGCGTGAGGGGAACGATGATCCTGCCGCCGCCAGGCGGTGCCGTTAGCTGCACTACTCTCTCAAGATCTATCAACTTCCCTTTCTACGGTTCGCTTAGGGCAGCTGGATCGAAGATGGCCGTTTTCCCCACAACCATAGCACCTAAGGCTGTATCCATTATTGGGGTCGCGAACTGCTGTAGCTGCTGCAACCTACCTGACGCCATGGGTACGAATATCCTGCCGCACGGCTTCCACCTCCAGTGCATGGGCCAAGGCGTTCTTAAGCGTCTCGTGATGCCCGAGCCTCACAGCAGCTCTGACTTCAAGGTCGCGGATCCGTCGATGAATGTTTGCACCAGGTTCCCTTCAATGAGCGCAGGTACAGACTGGTATGCTTTCCGAACCATCTTCTCCACCTCAAGGGCCCACTGCTGCAGGTTTTCGTTGCTGCGTTGCACGCGATCTCTAAGCTGCGCACGAAAGACGTGTTCCAGATGAGCGTCGCCATATCTCTCCTCCAATGCCTCAAGGAGTTGCTCGTAGGTCACTTTCTTACCGAGAGCTTCCAAACAGTTAAGGCTTGGTCGCGCAGGCCTAGGGTGAGTGCAGTCATGGCTGACTTTTACTCCAGCCATTCGCCTCCATGGCAGCCTCGAACTGGATTTTGTAGGCTCACCAGGAAGAAGTCCCGTCGAACGGCGGCACTTTGAATCCACGTACTGAAGGCGTTGTAGTTGCCACGGGGACTGTTATTCCATCCCCAAGTTTGAGGTCGTTCAGCGTTTTCTTCATGTCAGCCTTCACTTTGTTCAATTGGTCAATTCGGGTCTCAGCTTCCGACAGGCGATGGTCATACTGAGCAACCTTGTTCTTTAACTCCCTTATCTCTTCCCGAAGGTAGCGTGAAGGTCCTTCATGAGAAGCATCTGCTCTTCCTTATCACGTTTGAGCTTCTCTTCTAAGCGACGGGTCTGTTCCTCTTGTCCACCCCGCAATTGCTCTTCCAATCGGCGTGCCTGTTCCTCCTGTCGGCGGGCCTGTTCCTCCTGTCGGCGGGCCTGTTCCTCCTGTCAGCGAGCCTGTTCCTGCAGCAGCATCATGAGCGCACCTAAGTCAGGTGCTGCAGGTGTAGGAGCTGCTGACGGGCCAGCCTCCGTGGCTATCAGTTGGCCTCCCGACGTCTGCGGCGTTGCACCATCAACTCGTATCTGGTCCATCTCCTGCTGCCGTTGACTTCGATTACGGACACCCTCCGTGTCATCCTTCGGTAAAATCGGCATGATTTAGCATGACGTGGCACAACCAAATAGAGCATCTTATGGGCAGGGTCAGAAAGCTTATTTGGATTTTTAAGCAACTTGGACATGTAGCATCAAAAAATATAAGAACTAAAATATACACTGCACTGGTACAATCCTTACCGGCATATTGCATTCCTACATGAGGTGGCACGTCCAAAACCAAATTCTTGGAAGTAGAAAGGGCTCAAAGAGCATTACTCAAAGTAATGTTTTTCAAACCGTACAGATTTTGTACAGAAAAAATAATATAATATATGTGAGCTACTTACAGTAAGAAAATTATATATTTTACAAACCGTTTTAAAAATGCATAGTAGTCTGATTTATGATTTGAACATTTGACAAAGAAGAAGAGGTACTGTAATAGTAACGCAGAAAGTAAACACAAAATTTGCTTCTCATCAATATAAAAAGCAATCAGTTTTTATATACAATAAAATAAACAAAATTCTCAATATATATATATTTATATATATTGAGAATTTTGTTAATTTTATTGAATAGATATTTAATAGTTTATATCTTACGGATTAAGTTGATCACTATCTGTATTATGGCTATGGAAGAGCGGGATCTTCTGGCACAGGTGTTTTTACACTTAAAAGAAGATTTCCACACGTCTCAAGATCATTGTAAAAAATGTTTAGTTGATCAATAAAGATTTATTATTGTGGGGTATCTATATAATTTTCTCATCTGGTTGGGTTCTATAAATATATAATTATTAATTAAAATGAAAAGAACATAAATATCAATAAAATGAAATAAATACAAAAATACATAAATAAATAAGATCCAACCAGATGGAAGCCCTCGGCAGCGGAGACCAAACGGCCGAGGGTTAGGGGGAAAGGGAAAGAAACCGGCGGACGATGCGGGCGGTATCGAGTAGCACCGCCTTCTGCATTTGAGCCCGGAGCGGTCCGTCACGGAGTCCCAGTCGCCTCAGATGACCCGAGAGGCTGACTGGGAATAGCCCATTCGCAGAGACGACTACAGGTATAATTTCAGCCGGCATACCACCCCACATGTCGGTCACCTCGTGAGCCAGGTCCAGATATTTTGTTCGTTTATCGTTTCGGTTTTCACGAGGTTCTCGTCATACGGAATGGTAATGTCAACCAAAAATATCATTGACTGTGCCCGGTCCATCAGCACAATATCAGGCTTATTCGCAAGAATAGTCCTGTCTGTGATGATGGTCCGGTCCCAGTAGAGCCTGGCGCGGTCATTTTCGGGCACGGTTTCCGGCAAGTACTTGTAATACGGCAATTTTCGGTCCCGAGACCGTATTTCAGAGCGAGCTCCTGGTGTAGAATTCTGGCTACTAGGTTGTGCCTGTGCAAGTACTCAGAGTTAGAAAGCGCCGAACAACCGGAGATGACATGCCTAAGTGACTTCCCGGGTGGCGACAAGCTCGACAAACGTCGACAGTGCCATCCTTTAGTATGTATCTCCGATAGTTGTTGGTCTTAATAACCTGATCCTGTATTGCACAGACAAAACCCTCGGTTTCCCCCGAAGAGGTCACCGAAACGTAGCCAGTTGAGGGAAGTGGCTGTATCTACATGGGGCTCATGTAGAGCCCTGTAGTACCTCCCGTGGAGCTCCTTCTCCTTTCACACGGTCTCCCGGTCGGAAATGCTCTGTACTGCTGACATTGTTCGTTGGCTAAGGATAGAGGGGTAAGTCCTTTATCACTAGAAATGACGTCATTATAGAATGGATCATCCGATCTCGCCAGGAAGTAATGACGGAGGCTGCACACTTCGCGATTATGCATGGTGAGCGCGCTCAAAAAGCCACGCCCACCATGCCATGATTTATTATTTATTTTTATTATTATTATTATGTTGACTGCTTGCCGCCGTTTAATAGCCTACATAATTATTATTAATTAGATAAATCGCGCACGCAAGCTAAATAAAACTTTATCGCTGCCCGAGAGTGTCCGTATTACTTTTCACATTTTCTACTTCCTACGTTGCGGTGGACTTTCCGTTGTTATGGAGGGATGTCAATAAAGAGTAACAAAATACATTGCGAAATATTAATTAGGTTACTTAAGTGAAATACCTATTCTGACTATGATCGACAGACCATATTTTCGCACCTACGTGAGTTCTGCGATGCCTAACGCAATGAACTTGCAAGGCCATTCGTCGGGAATCGCGACGCTTGACTCGGAAGGAAAAGGTAGAATAGTGTAAACAACAAATAAACTTGAAATACGATTCCTAACAGAAATGTAATCGTATTTAAAAATTTTGTTGGTAAATAAAGTTTTGATTTCAGTGTTTTGTGTTATTTTAGCTTAAAATATTTTAATACAAAAGGCAAGTATATGTACGTAAATAGATACTTGGATAATGAAGTAAATTTCCACTAAACTTTGTAATAAAGTTCGTATATATTAAATAAATTATTACTTATTCTCTTTTGCCACAAGTACCTATCTAACAATAAAAAATTAAATAAATTCACATTTCTCAACTTCCTACTAAAATGCTTCGGTCATTTAGCGTCTATCCACGCAACAATTATAGTAGGACGTTTTGCCATATTAAAATTTATTAAATAATGGGTAATATACATAATATATAGTTCTTAAATTACATTAAAACTTTTGAACTATTTTATTCTATAATTAAATATATTAAACACTAAACAAAAACTATTTCAACAATATTTATAAAAAGTTATATATACGTAAACAGCGTTAAAAAACTTTAACATTCAATGGCTTCCAACGCACTAGCCCTGACTGAGTTATTTCGCCCGGGCGCGTCGCGATTTTAGGTAATTATTTCACGTAGGTAGCAAGAGTGATAGAGGCCTGCCTAAAGCGAGAAGTAAATTCAGAAATAAAAACACAAAGTCATCCATAACTTGAATGAAAATTGGTCTTTTCCTTTAAAATTTTCTTGTTATATAGTGTAATTAATTGCCCCGTATTTTACAATAGTTTTCGTAGTAAATTTTCACCGTTAAATAACTAATTTTCATATAATTCGTTTTCTTATAATCGTATTTTCATAGAATTTTTAAACTTTTTAAAATCTTCGATTTCTCCGCTCCTTTTAGGCTTATAAAGCCCGTGTCGTGTAGAAACTGCCATCTACACTCAAATTTGATAGATAAAACACACGGAACTCGAAAAATCGCTACTTACCTAAACCGACCAGTAAATTCAGAAATAAAAACAAAAATTCATCCATAACTTGTCTGAAAATTGGTCTTGTCTGTTTAAATTTTTTCGTTATATAGTGTAAATAATCGCCCCCGTATTTTACAATAGTTTTCGTAGTAAATTTTCACCGTTAAATAACTAATTTTCATGTGTCTCGTATTCTTATTATCGTATTTACATAGAATTTTTAAACTTTTTAAAATCCTTGATTTCTCCGCTCCTTTAAGGCCTATTTGGTTCTTATTATGTAAAACTGCCATCTACATTCAAATTTGGTTATCGTCATTATCATCGTCATCGCCATCGTCACCATCGTCGTCGTCATCATCATCATCATCGTCATTGTCATCGTCATCATCATCATCGTCACCGTCATCGTCATGGTCAACGTCATAGTCATTGTCATCAACACCATCATCGTCATCATCATCGCAATCGCCACCATCAATGTCATCATCATCGTCATCATCATCATCATCTGCATCATCATCGTGATCGTCATCATCACCGTCATCATCATCACCGTCATCGTCATCGTCATCGTCTTCATCATCGTCATCGTCATCATTACTAGCATCGTCCTCGTCATCATCATCATAATCATCATCATCATCATCGTCATCGTAATCGTCACCGTCATCATCATCGTCACCGTCATCGTCATCCTCATTGTCTTCACCATCGTCATCGTCATCATCACCGTCATCATCATCGTCACCGTCATCGTCATCCTCATTGTCTTCATCACCGTCATCGTCATCATTACTATCATCGTCCTCGTCATCATCATCATCGTCATCATAATCATCATCGTCATCATCAACATTATCATCATCATCATCGTCATCGTCATCGTCACCATCATCGTAATCGTCATTATCATCATCATCGTCGTCGTCATCATTACTATTAACGTCTTCGTCATCACCATCGTCGTCATCGTCTACATACGAGGTTATAACCTGTCTAGAACAGAGAGCGCGCGGGAAATTTGAAATAGTTTGAAATAGTTTACGAGTTATTTTATTAGTTGATATTATTGATTGAGTAGTTTGATAGGGCAAGCCCGGCTTCTGGACTTCTATGGAGGCTTCGCCACCGAGCATTAGCGCGTTGGCTCGATGCAGCCATACGATGTTGTCGCGCGGTGGGCTAAACGTTGAAATATGAATATCGACAGTCGATATTTTTTTCAATAAAATGTTTATATTTTATATTTTTTCTCGTAAATCATTTAATCTACTACTAACTAATCTACTGTACTTTATTTTGTGCTTTTAATTTTACCCCAGTTTATTTATTTGCTTATTATCTTAAAAAGAAATGTAATTTTGTATTGCATATCTATGTGGTATTAAAATTACTATAATCTACGAAACTTATAGTTAATTTACTGCGTATTTTGGTGGGAACTTGACCGTCGACGGCTTTTTGTTTCTGTTTTATCGTTTGAATAATTGTTTGAAGTGGATTTTGATACGTAAAAGTAATGCGATTTTTTGTATTGTCTACTACTACTTTTGTATTAAGTAACTAATAGAGAAAACGGCGAAACAAGTGCTTACGATGTTTATTTATTTATTTATTGAAACTAACAACTATCATGACAGAAATGACCTAATGCGACAGTGTAGTTCTTTTTATGCATAAAAAAAATGTAGAAATTAACTGTAACAAATTGTAAACAATCCCACCCTAGTAAATTCACTCAAGGAGCAATAGAATAGGTCAATGTCTTCAGCCATTCTATTAAGAATGCGTATGAAACGTTCCCGTTAAAGGTGCTTTATCTAGCAAATTGGTTTGGGCGCGTGGCACGGAGAGCAGCCGCGGCCGCCGCCGTTTTTATACGTACCCGTCTGGAACATGCAGCCCAATCCGCCCCAATATGTCAATATTGTATATTTTTAGCACTTCAAAAATATATAAGGCTAATGCGAGGTCTCGTCTTACCCTCAACTCGTCGTAGCCAACCATACCCAGAATAATAAATGTTAATATAAACCACAAGTTATTTTGATCGCGTAGGCGTCTTATGAACTTGAGTTACTGTCGTCATCGACTGTCCGCTAGGTAGACAGCTTACTACCGTTCTATCAGAAATAGCTGTTAAAGATTTGATTTCTTCAGGTTTATTCAAACGGTTTTGAAAGCACTCAACCAGGAATACAGACTCGTTCTAAACAATACACCAAAAAAAAAAATGTTTTTTTTTAACCAATTCTCTCCGAACAGTCGATAGAGCTTTACTATTAATAATAATATTTATTAATTATTTATTTATTTCAATCTTTATTCTAGTTTAAATAGGAAATAGTCTTAATAACTTTTATAAATATGAATAATAGCATGTATTTGTTTGTTTTTATAATATTTTTTCGTCAAACCATATTCTAAGGTAAAAATAAATAAAACACATCAGGCAAGTAAACAAGTAAAAAAAAATATTATTACGAAATTATAACATTATTTGACAAACTGCAAGTTATTTGATCTTTTATTTAAACTAATTTCATTTAAGGTAAAAAATATTACTTGTATATTATGTAGAGAGGCATAAAAAGATAGACAACAACATCTTCCCGAAACATCTAAATATAAAAAATGCAGTTGTTAATTATGGCAAATATTCCAATAAGGCGATCTATGGTGGAGGTTTATGTTCAGCAGTGGACTGTTGATAGACTGTTATATATGATAGATTTTTAATCGATATAGTGGTGTGCCTTTAAATAGATTTACTACACTAGCTCTGGATGTTTTGTAAGTAAAATAAAAGCAATTCCAAGTGTAAAATAAAATTTAATTCAGAACGTTACCAATTTATAATAATATAATCATAATAAACGTGACTCTGTCACACTTACCCCAATGTTAGGTATTAGGTGAGGTAAGTGTAACTGTATCCGTATATCAAAGAATAGTGAATTTCAGATCGCACAAACATATTAGGTACTCTATAAGTACTTTATTACTAACCTTGTATCTGGTTTGAAATAACTTAACGACATATCGAAACACTTAATAACTTCACCTCTTAAAATTGCACTGTCTGTCGCCAGTTGAGTAGTTTTTAAAAATAACGTCTGTTGATAAAATAGCTCCAGCTATGTACTTAACTGTCAGTTTAGTGAACAGCGTAAAATTTCCTGTGTTGTTTAATAGATGGAATTAACCCAAAAACCGTGTTTAGACCGCATAATTTGCACTTGTTACACTTGCCCCACTGTCACACTTGCCTCAGGTGACCATACACTAGATAATTACGAAAATATAATGTGTGAAATATACATACCTAAGCACCTTCCGCATTAAATTCCTCGCCCCAGAGATTTAATTCTTTATCAACACACGCAGAGACTACTTTTGTAAATATTGATTTTATTCTATGTACTATTTACCTACTTAATTTAGATTCTACTAATAACATAAAACTTTAATACTTTAACACTTGTACATACTAATAAGTTGTTATAAGACCTGGGGTTGTTATTAGTTTTGGGTAATTTCACATAAATTATAGTTTTCCAAAATTTTAGGAGGAAATAATATATAAACTCTTGATCAATTTTAAATGTTATTCGCGAATTTCACAATACCACCACAAAAAATAAATAATAAAAGTTGTTTTCAGTGGTATCTCTCTCTTTCTATACTTATTTAAACTATCGTTGCAAGAACGAGAAGCGATGAATATCAACGACGGTCATCGGTTAGTGGGCCGTTTTCAGTTTTTGAATATCGTTCCACAGTTTGCGTTATGCGTTTCGGTTTCGTTTTCGTAAGATGGTTACGTGGGTTAGGTGGTGGTTGGTTGAGTAGGTGGCATGGTTTTAGTTGGATATGTGATAACGGTTTTGTACTTAGGTTTATCGATATGATATGATATTTGATAACATAACGTTATTAGTTACGTTTTGATATATCGGTCTCATGCCTAATAATCATAAATCATAATTATATGAATTAAAGATGAAAAAAGCGTATTAAGGTTTTATAATTGTAGCTCTAGCTTTTTAATTGTACTCGTTCCATTTATTTTTACTTTCTTATAAGCTTACTAAATATTCCGTAATAAGTATTATGCGTAAAAACACTCTTTCATCAAGCGAGCAACTCAAGGCTTTAGAGATTTGGACTTATAACTCAGTTACCCAGTCCGATTCCCAAGCAATCCCCTCCTACGGGCTATGAGGGAATCTTTGGCGGCCTACCTATGCTCATTACTGCACTTTAATAGGCTGTAACTAAACGGAACGGGTATAACACGGATATATACATAAATAAAATATTTTACATTTCAAGTTTATCTAAGCTATCATAAGTGTCAGTGTCATCCCTAAAAACATGATTTTAGTCTGACCAAGCCACGTAAATGTTGGTCGCCCAGGAACTTACTATATATAAATAAATTAAGTTAATCATATTTTTAACCCCCGACGCAGAAGAGGGGTGTTATATTCTAACCTGTGTTTCTGTGTGTCATGTGTCTGTCTGTGGCGTCGTAGTTCCCACACGGACAGATGAACCGATTTAGATTTAGTTTTAGTTAATTTTGTCGAAAAAAGTGACTCGCTCGAAAGTGTTCCATCAGCTCTTTTTGTTTCTGTTTTTTTTTTAATTTGATATTATTTAACATTTGATAACATTTACCAAATTCTTTCATTACAGCCTATGTGCACAGCTGGGCTTCTTCAATAGATTGCCATATAGAGTGATTCTGCTATAATTGCCTCGCTTGGCAGACCGGTTGGCAATGTTGTTCGCTTGTTGGTTATATTTAACCGGTGGCATAACATAACATAGCCTATCACAGCTCTCTCGCCTGTCACCCAGAGGGTTAGAAAACTGGCGAGTCCCAATTATTACGATCGTTACACACAACTCTCAAATGAAGCAGGGGTCATATTCTTTGGGTGTAATAACGGCGAAAAGACCTGTCATTCTATCTCTCTTCCGAAGAGGTTCCAGTTGCACATTTGAGATTAAACTTGTAACCATATTTTCATATCCATGTGTTTATGTTAGTCGGCGTACTAACTTGCAACTCCTTTCTTATCAAATTAGATTGCAATCTTACTTAGTACCTAAGTAGATTTCGTGCAACAGTGTTATAGGTATGTCAAATTTTAATAATTTGCTTAAAATACTTTTCCGCTCGATAAATTAGGAACTAACTAACTAAGCAATTACAATCAATCCACGAACGCACGTCGTTATTATTTGCGATACCATCGACACCATCTGGATGCTTGGCGTCCACCACTATACATTTCACTAGGAGCTTTTCTCCTCGTACGACCCCTCTGTGGAATCGCTTGCTTCCGGCGATTTTTCCAGACCGATATGACTTAGGGAACTTCAAAAAAGAGTCTACTCCTTTCTAAATGGTCGTCAACGCACCTGCAATTCCCCATGCTGAGCTGTTGTTGTCTGCATAGGCTTTCTGCCTAGCAGGTATCGGGCCTCGGGGTATACCTCCTTTACCCGGACATTCCTCACGGCACACTACAGTGTGCCGGTCCTGGGCGCCTTTGATGATAAAAGGCGTAGTAATGTAATTAACGACTTTTCGTCGTAGTCGGGTAATATTTCAAAAAAGGATGGCTATCTCAATAATTGTGTTTAACACAATTATTTTGTCTAGGTTGGCCTTTCTGCGGCATTGTGGGATTTACTCGACTCCCTAATCTATATAGGGAGGAGTTCTCTTGGATAAGGTCGCCCGTCCGGAGGCCATGAGTACAACGGCGCAAAGCCGTTGAGGTGATCATGTGGCCCGTTGTCGGCGCGGTCGAACATACCGCGCGTCAGCCGGACCACGAGTTCTTGTAGGCTCTCGATCTTAAGGTTGGCCGCTATGACGTCATTCCGGACGTAGCGACCCGCACCGACTATGGTTCGTAATGACAAGTTCTGCTGAGCCTGTAGTCGCCTCTTCTGTTGATCGCTCAGGAGCGCATACCAGGCCCGAGCAGCGTATGTTAGCAGGGGTCTTATATACATTTTATAGATGGTCAACTTCGACTTTGTCGTTAACTTGGATACCAGGACAGGAAGGAGCATCGCCCGGACACATCGAGCTTTGCGGACGACAAAGTCGACGTTCTCAGTCATGCGCAACATCCTGTCAATCCGGCATCCAAGGTAGGTCACGGCCGTCTCATATACGATCTCCTGGCCTCTGAGGGTTAGCGGTGGTGGTAGGTTTCTGAAGCGACGACTGAGCAGAGCGGTCGTCTTGCTAACATTAACGTCCATCCTCCACTCGCCCAGCCATGGTGGCAGCAGGTCCAGCAGACGTTGCATCCTAGCAGTGGCGATATGGGCTCTTCTGGACGAGGTGAAGGAGGCGCTGTCATCCGCAAATAGCGCCAGTTCGACGTCGTCCTCCCATTCGTGCAGATGCCCTGCAAGGGTGGGGATGTCATTTGTGTACACCGCGTACAGGACTGGAGATAGACAGCTGCCCAGTGGCACACCAGCTGTTATGGGTTTTATTGCGGACTCGGCGTCCTCTACACAGACGTAGAACCTGTCTACGAGGAAAGACGCCACTAGCCGCAATATAGCAGGACGGACACTGGTCTGATCTTCTAATTTATAGAGTTGTGGCGGCGCTGTCATCGCGCCGCAAGCGAAATACACCGAAGCCTAAATCACGCTATCAACATTCCGAATCATAAACAGCATATATAGAACATCTCCGAACTATCACACGGAGTGTTGGCCGCTCCCCGGGCAGAACACCTTGCCCGGCGGGAGATCTCCCCTTTTACTTCTACGGCCACAGTGGTGACCCCGACGTGATCTGAACACGCAGCGACAAACAACCTTCGGAAACTACAATTTCAAGCCTTCGTCATTATCCTCAAGAACCCCTACCATTCACTACTGAGAATTCTGCAGTCTTCAGTTCCTGCAAGCCAGTCCAACTTGTCTTCGTCTCGACTCACCGCAGATTTATAAGGCAGACTACTGGCACTTGCTCCGGCACATCGTTCTCACCGGCATCACTTGCCAGTGCGTAGTACGGCATGCATTACCTACACATCGGCATATTATTCGCACCGGTGTCACTTGCCCTTACGCACACAGCATGCATTCCCACCGTCATTAAAGGACACACCGGCAATCGGACTGCACTATCGACCTCCGGTCTGAGCAGGGGGGTGATGTGGCGGCGCTGTCATCGCGCCGCAAGCGAAACACACCGAAGCCTAAATCACGCTATCAACATTCCAAATCATAAACAGCATATATAGAACATCTCCGAACTATCACACGGAGTGTTTGCCGCCCCCCGGGCAGAACACCTTGCCCGGCGGGAGATCTCCCCTTTTACTTCTACGGCCACAGAGTAATCCTGGATGCCACACCCTGTCGAACGCCTTCTCGATATCCAGAAAGACGCCCAACGATGTGCGGCCGCGGTTGTGCTCGGCCGCAAGCAAGTGCAGCACTATGGTCAGCTGTGTTGCTGTGGAGTGGTCCCTCCTGAATCCATGATGCTCCGACGTCTGAGCAGTATTCTTTCAAACAGTTTAGCTATATGCGGTAGCAGCGTGATCGGCCTGTAGCTGGCAGCTCTACGCCTGTCTTACCCTGGTTTCGGCAAGACGATGATTTTGCCTTTCTTCCAGTCCTCCGGGAAGTTGGATGTCCGCAATATTACTTGCTGGGTTCGGCATAAACTGCTTCTCGAAGTGCTCAGCTAGGATATCCGCTCTGCCCTTGGCATCGTAACGTTGTTCGCCCGCGTTGTTGGTCAACGGGCAAACAGGTGGACGAGTTTTCGTTAACTGCCGGTTCAATGTGTAGCGACGCTTGATGTTCGTCAGCCTTCCAAATGCGATGCTCCCAGGCCTCCCCTCTGTGGGCCTGTATTGCAACAGACAGTTCGTCCGTTAAGGTGTTCAGCTTCGTTTTTATTCTGGGGCAGCGAGTGCGCGCCCAGAGCTTCCTCAGCGCTCTTTTGTGCTTCAGCTGCACGCGTATCTTTAGCGCCAGCTCTTCCTTTTTTGTCCAGAGAGAAGGACAATCGTAGAGGCCGCGTTGAGGGCCTCCTGGATGCTAGTGGTTATTCTGCTTGCAGCGGCCTCTACGTCGTCCGCTGAGTGGATCGGTGCGTGGACTGGAGGTCTCTCCTGCAGGTGTTGGTGGTAGAGCCTCTAGTCGATCTTGGTCTTAACGGCTCTGGGCGGCGAAATCACTGCCTTGGTGCTAAGGGTAATCAGAATCGGGAGGTGCTGTCTATTTAGGTCGTACAGCACCTCTACCACTACCGGGTAGTTGACGTTCCTAGTGAGCACGATTGTCAATACATCCGGACGCTTCCTAGGGTCAGTAGGGATATGCGTCGGTTCCTCGGGACCTAGAACGTCATAATTCTGGTTTTCTGCATCATCGTAAAGTTCGCGACCCGGCGGGTTTATCAATCTTGACCCCCACGCCGGGTGTTTGGCGTTCAGGTCTCCGGCGATGATGGTGGGAGTCGGTACCTATTTATCTAATAAATCAACTTAAGGAATTTACATATCATATTAAAGGTGTAATTTCGGTGTGACTTAACAATAAATAAGTTAACATCTCAAATAACACGTTCAAAGTAGTTGTCAATACTAATGCAGCGACATCTGAGAGAAAATTTTTATATTACTACTCGCACACTCCGAATATCTGCTTCATCTGTATCGAAGTTGTTTATCATTAATACAATTATAACTAGAGTTGCCAAAGCTTCCAAAATTCCGTAGAATTATTCCGGAATAACGCTCACAATTACAGAAACACAAATTGCTAACCGTGTCTGTTCTTAGTTTTAAGAGAATTAATATAGTTTATTTAAACTACTTACATTTTTGTGCTAATTGACGACCGGATCTGACAGCCACAATAAAAATAAAGACGACTTTATAAATATATTCTGATTGTGAACTAAAAAGTACTACTTTTCACGGTTACTCATGAAATCTCTGCAAGGTACACGTTTAAATTGAGATTAAGTGTCATCTTTATAATTTTTTATCGAGCAAATTATTGTGATTTGCATTTCAGTCTTTGTCAATGATTTCAAAAGGAACGCCCATCTAAATATTTTACTCATAACTTTTTCATACAAGAAAAAGTAGCGCATCTATACATCTATACAAATAATAAATCTGTAGAAAGGTCGTGTCTGTAATTCTACTATTTTCAAGAAAAAACAAGTCCAGAGGACTAAACAACTACTGGGTACTGAAGCCATATTGGTGGTTTTTAGAATTTTTGTCTATCTGTCTGTCTGTCCGTCTGTCTGTCTGTCTGTGTATTAAAGATTCACGCAAAAACTACTGAACAGATTTCCATGAAATTTTGTGTGTAGGTAGTTAGAGACCCGATGCTACTTATAGGCTACTTTTTATTCGATTACTGAACTTCAGAAAAGGAGGGTTAAGTATTTTCCCTCCTTTAGATGTAAATTTCTATTTTATACGATTGATGTTTTCTATTAAAATAAATAAATTATTTATAAATAAAGCCCAACATTAGTTTTAACCGTTGTGTAATAAATTGAACTACGCCGACAAACCACAATATTATTATTGCATTCACTATTTCAAGACAGTGCCATCTAACGTGAAATACAAAAAGTAATGACATTTTGCTTCCGCTAACAAATTAAATAACATAGCATTTATATAGTTATTTTTATTTGAAAATTCTAATGTACATTTTTTTTAGTTTTTGTTATTTTATTTTAGTAGATAGTAATAAATTTTATAGTAACAAATTACTTCTAAAAAAGATAATAGTAAAATTTATCGAAAAACATAAATTTAACGATGTTTCTAAGTTAAATTTTTTAATCAATAAAAAGTTTTAGTGTTTACTTTTTTTATCTATAAATAAACGGCGGGTGGGTGATAAATAAGTGCATACGTGTTCGTCTTACTTTAATTACTAATCAATTAATAAACTATTTACTTACATATAATTTAGGGACGTTATCACGTATTAAA